AATTCTAATTTCCTAATTAAACTAAACTTATTGTCATTTTCTTTGAAAATGGACCTTGTTTTTGTTGTCAGTTGTCATCAATCTATTTATGACTCATAGGGTCCTCAGGTACCAATGATGTTGCCTGGACCTTTGTCCTCCTCACAATCATTACTATGATTGAGCCCACTGTTCTAGCTGCGACGTTAACCAAACTCATTGAAGGTCAAGGTCTTCCTACTTTTTGCTGACCCACTACTTTATCAAGCATGGTGCCCTCTCCAAGGACTGGACCCTCCTGATATTCACATGCCCAAGATGTAGACAAAAACATTATTGATGTGAAATGTTAGTCCAAGTTTGTCAAAGAAGAGACAGCCATGGTTGTTGCTGTTGTTGTTAGTTGCCTCCAGTTTATTCTGATTTATGGTGTGATTGTTGCTTCTTCTGAAATGTAAAAATTCAAATGAAAAACTGGATAACCATGAGACTGTGTTATCCAGTATCTTTTTTATATTTCCACTTTACAACAAAACGCAAAAGGGTGACTTTTAAAACTGATGGGGGCTGAAGTGCTTCTTCTGCACTTAAAAAGAATAGGGAAAAAAGGCATCTGTAACAGAAAGGAAAAGCAATAGATCTCTTAAGTCAAAGGAGAAAGGAAACTGAAACTTATATTTAGAAAACAGTAAGTTTAGTGCCCTCAAACTTCTTTGTCTAAAAGAGGTATATCCAGAGGAGGACTATTAAGAGTATGGTTCATTTCTTTAAAACAAAAGAGGTATTTTCCTATCTTGCCTCACTTATTATTCTGAGGAGCCCTTCAGCTGATTTTCACTCATAATGATTCCATGTGACCGAATAGAACTGCTCCATGGGACCTTCTTTGCTGATGCTGTTGTTGTTGTTAAGTGCTATGGAGTCAGTTCTGACTCATCAAGACCCTGTATAGAGTTTCTGAGGAGTGGCTGGTAGGTTTGAACTGTTGATCTTGAGGTTAGCAGCCCAGTGCTTATCTTATAGTGCTACACCCGGACTCTTTGCTAAGTGTTGTTGTTAAGTGCCATCGAGTCTATAGGTGGGTTTAAAATACCATCTTTTTAGTTAGCAGACAAACAGTTAAATATATAACACTGGGCTACTTGTCAGATGTTCCCTACCTACTGCCAATCCTCATCTAACAGAATGACTCTTACTTTAGAGTAAATATGAATTGTCAATGATGGATATTATGCAATGCTAAGAGTGACCGTTACGAGAGGGCATCTAAATGGAAAATCAACCAGTGGAACGATATGGCCATTAGTATTGAGATTTTACTGTAGTCTTCATAGCATGTACCATTGCCTGGAGCATCGTATGAGCATGCTTCCGAAAGTTTATGGAAAATGAAATTGAAAGATATCGTAATTACCTTTTAGTTTTTATTTTAAAGTTATTATTCATTATCTATTCCCTCACTTCCGTTAGAACATGAACTCTATAAAAGTTGTGAATTTCATTATTAAGTACATCTAGAATAGGTATAGTTATACAGTAGGCACATAATACATATTTAATTGTTTTTGAATACATTAATGATATAATTTGGTCCAAAGTATGGATACCAAATGTTGAAACGTCTACATTTGCTCCTCTCTCTACTAGAAAAGTGGTATCAAGGACATGCCATTAAACATTTAATCAGGAATCTCTTCTAATTCCCCAGTGTTCATATATATAAAAGACAGATGGGTACAATAGAATGTTTTTTGGTCTGTTTGTTTGACCCTAGCATATTAGATAGTAACTGCCAGAGACTAGGGGTAAAGGGTGGTCTGTTTTGCAATTGCTCTAAAAGATATCCTCTTAAACCCAATGAAATAAACTAACAATTTGAATACTTTTATGAAAACATCTAATCTAACTTTCTTTTGTTGCCATCTATCTGGGCAAAGGTTAACTCCCCAAATTAGAGAAATAGTAACATTCTAATAAAAAACAGAAAAAAACAGTATAAATCAGACCCACTTACAAAGCCAAGGTTACCTTTACTTCAACAATATTCACTGTATTTGACATCAGGTCAGCTGCCATCATCAACACAAATAAAATTTCATTCAGGAGACACCATAAAAGGCCTATTTGTATAGTATTGTACAGTTGCTGTGTGAAAGCTTAACAACATAATTTTTTTAAAAAAGGAAGACTAAAAATATTGATGCATTCAAATTATGGTATTGAGCATTCCAATTGTGGTATTGGTGAAGAATACTGAATATGCCATTGATTACCAGAGGAACAAACAAATCTTGGAAATAGAACCAGAATGTTCCTTAGAAGTGAGGATGGCAACACTTTGTCTTGTTCACTTTGGATATGTCATCAGGAGGGGCTGATCACTGAAAAAAGACATCATGCTAAGGTAGAGAATTAGTGATAAAGCAGGATACCCTCAATGAGACAGATTGACACAGTGCTCAAATAAAGTAACAATTGTGAGGATAGTGTAGGATCAGGTAGTGTTTTATTCTACGTACTATACTCTTGTCCAAAGTATTCTGTGCTCTTTGGCTTATACCATGTCAAAATAGCATTTTTGGCATCTTCAAGGGACTCAGATTGGGTTCCAGTTCAAAATTCTTTGAGTTTTGGGAACAAATAGAATTCAGCAAGATAAGATCCAGGTCTATAGAGGGCATGGGTAAGGTTTTTCAATGAAATTTTCGTAGAACAACCCTTACTACCCTTGAAGAAAGAGTGAGTGCAATGTCGTGATAGAAAGTAATTTTTTCTGCAAAACTTTCCTGACTTTTTCTCACCAATGCAGTTTTCAAGCTTCATAAGCCTTCATAATGTTCAAGTCTCCATGGTTGTCCTGTGTGCTTCAAGAAAATCTCAAGATTATCCCTTTGGAATTGCAAAAAACAGTATTAATAACCTTCTTAGCTTACTTCTTTGCCTTGAATTTAATGGACCCAGTCGATCCTTCAAAAGTCACTGTTTTGACTGAATCTTTTTTGTATGTGAAGGTACCCTAATGAGACTGCAACAAAAGTATAATTGAGAGAACTGTTTGCCACCATCCACTAATTACAGAGGCATGCTTAAGCACACTTTGTTTGGAATAAGCCAATGCATGTGTGAAATGGAACTCAGTAGCAATACTTTTTGACTTATCTTTGTACATAAGGTCACTAAGCATGAGACCAACTCAATGGCACTAAACAATACTTAATGTAATTAGAGAATCAAATAAGACAGCTTGTCACCATAAAGTGCTCATTTGGACTCATAGACTCTCTATTGCCCATTCCGTAGGGCCATGAGGCTCCCATGGCCTATCCAGACTGCACTGAATATGTTTTGTGAACGCATTATTTTTTCCTAAAAATGTGTTTTTGACACCTCAATGACCCCTCCATGTAATTCTGAATGATGAGGTACCAGGACTCCATTTCATATATACATATATATACATATACATATAGTTATTTTTATGTGCTGTGGAGTTGGTTCCTACTTATAGCGACCCTGTACAGTGACCAACTCTGTACAGTATTCCTGAGGCTGTAAATCTTTACAGGAGCAGAAAGTTTCATCTTTCTCCCGCGGAACACCTGGTAGTTTCGAACTGCTAACCTTGAAGTTGGCAGACCAACTCGTAACCACTATGCTACCAGTGTTAGCTCGATTTATAACCACTATGCTATAGCTACTCACAATCACCCACAGTTGCAGAATGCCTTAATGAGTAGCAACTTTAAGGACTCACTTTTTTGTGGCTTCTGTGTTGAAATAAAGCTGCCATTTTTTAGTGTGGGTGTCTTTTTTTTTTTCCCTTCATGACATAGACAAATGTTGATGTTTACTACAAATTGGTACATTAGTTGCTAATTAAGTTCCTAGCTGCTTCAGCCAAAACTTGCTGTATTGAATCCAAGAAAAGAATGGCAGCTATATCAAAAATAAGTTGTTGGGGATTTTGTTTTGTTTTGTTTTATTAAAGGAAAGTAGTGTTCTGAAAGACTAAAGAATGAGGAGGTTTCATGCTTGCAGACAGGAAGCCTCTCTTGGCTTCCTCCTAAGCTGAGTTGGTGGTGGTTAAAGTCCCTTTGGCGTCTGTCTCCAAGCTCTGTTAGAAGCAGTATAAATATTAGCAATCTAAACATTGAGACATTGAAGTAAACTGCTTACCATTCATTCACTGCTTACTTTTTTATATTCCCCTCATCAAGTCAGTTCTTGGGGGCCCACACAAAGCTAGGTTTATTCCAGGAAGTATCAATGTCTTCATGTCCTGGGATTCTGTCGGTTACACATCTCCAAAACGGTATCTTAGCTGTATCGCTTTGCCTAACTTTACAATGTCCCCCACTCTGGCCAGATCAAAGTCTGAATTCTCAGCAAAGAGTAACTCCTCTCTTGTTTGCAATCAGGGTCTGACGCAGTTAGTTTCTCTTTACTTGTCCTGTGTTTAAGTTTCGATTCACCGGCTTTCAGGCCCTCCACAATCGGGTTGCACAGCGATGCGGCAAAGGGCTTCGAGAATTTCAGTAAGGTCTCATTTATGAGACAGATTTCTGTATGAAGGACAAAATACTTGGAAAAAAACAGCATTGCTAAAGCATTGTCTTACTCGGCAGCAGACAGCCTTCTCTTTCCTTTCCCATTTCCCAAGTGCCCTTGTTAAGACCAAACAAAGGGCGGCTCCGCCCCCGACCCCAAAGACACTCCCCTTCTAGACTTTGGGAAGTCCCAGAGAAGAGAATCGAAACAGAAACCAAAGTCCAGGAAACTATAAGAACTGCTGGGGGTAAAGCCGGACGCCAAGCTCCCACCCAAGTGTGCAGGTTTCTGTCGTAGCGCGCACGGCGGAGATTCGGAGGGGCAGCAGGTGTTGAGGTGAGACCGCGCCTCCCTGCGCCAGCCTGGGGCCCTGCAGTCAGCCTAGTAGTCAGGCTCACCATCCCTGCAGACCCAAAGCAGTGGAACCAAATCGTCTACTGGGGAGAATCCTCTCCCTTCTCTGAGAACGAAAGATGTCAAATGAGCCCTCCTTAGAACAGAATTTCCGCTATCTCATCTTTTGCTTCAGGTCCCGATTGAAATTGTGCATCGATGTGGAGCCCTTGTTGGGCTACCTAGACTTTCTGACTGCAGACGTGAAGGAACAGATTCAGAGGACGATACAAACGTCCGGGAACATCCAAGCAGTTGAACTACTTTTGAAAAATTTGGAGAAGGAGAAGTTCCCTGCCGGCTGGACTAGGACATTTGTGAACTCCCTTCAGAGATCAGGCAGCAGTTTAGCTGCTCTCTATATGAACCCTGACCTCACTGACTTGCCTTCGCCATCATTTGAGACAGCTCATGATGAGTGCCTTCACCTGCTGAATCTCCTACAGCCCACTCTGGTGGACCAGCTTCTGGTTAAAGATGTCTTGGATCAATGCGTGATGACTGACTTGTTGACACTTGAAGACAGAAATCGCGTAGGTATCAATTCAAATGGATTGACTCTTAGGCAACTAGGGTTACTTGTACATTTACCATAATTGTAATTGTAATTCCAGTTCCCTTCTTCTCTGAGAAAAGATTGTTGTTGTTAAGTGCCATTGAGTGGGTTCTGACTTATGGTGACTCTGTAAGGTTTCCAAGGAGCGGCTGGTGGTGGTGGTGTTGGTGGTTATGTGCCGTGGAGTTGGTTCCGACGCATAGCGACCCTGTACAGGGATTCCGAGGCTGTAAATCTTTATTGTAACAGAAAGCCTCAACTTTCTCTTGCAGAACTGTTGGTAGTTTCAAACTGCTGACCTTGGCAGTTCGCAGCCCGATTCGTAACCACTATGCTACCAGTGCTCTTAGGCACTGAAAAACATACTTTTGAAAATCTAAACACAAAAGGTTATTTCTAATTCCATTGAAATAAGCTGAAGAGGATCAGATTTTGGAATAACAATATATACCAATGTTGCTGTTGTTAAGTGTTAAGTGCCATTGCATCAGTTTCCACTCACAGCGACCTTGTGTAGAGTTTCCAAGGAGTAACTGCTGGGTCTGAACCACTGACCTTGTGGTTAGCAGTCCAGGGCTTATCCTTTAACACCACTTGAACACTTGCTATGCATTATTGTTGCTTCTTGTTGTTAAGTGCCATCGAGTCGATTCTGACCCATAGCGACCCTGTATACGGTTTCCAAGGAGTAGCTAGTGAGCTTTGCAGTCTGATGCATTAGCCCACAGCGCCACACCAGGACTCCCTTGCTATGCATAGGTAGTATCATTTGCAAAATATGTAATCACAGTTCATACTTGCAAAATTAACTTCATTTCACGTATGGGGAAACTGAGGCAGGTTAAGTAACTTACCCAAAGTTGCCCCAGGATGGCAGTGGCAGTCAGTGCTGTGAATTTAGGTCCTGAAGGTGTGGAATTTTATGTACTATTCAACTTACTCTCATAAAACAGGTAAACAAACCGTGGTCAGGGCTATCTGGCCTGCATAGCAAGGGAGTCTTGGCTAAGAATGAATTTTAGATTTTTAAATGGTTGTGAAAAAAAGAAAAAGAAAAAGGCTCTTATTTCCTAACACGTGAAGATTATATGAAGTTCAAATTTCAGTGTCCATGTTGTTGTTGTTGTTAAGTGAAGAAAGTTTTATTAGAGCACAGCCACACTCATTCATTTACAGATGGTCTATGGCTGCTTTTTTACTCTTGTGGTGTGGCAGTTGCACAGACTCTTATCAACCACCCACAAAGCCTAAAATAGTCACTATCTGTCTCTTTAGAGAAAATTTTTGTCAACCCTGCTCACTACTATACAGAATGTCACTTAATTTTGGTTCAAACAGGGAAATTACATGTGACACAAACATGCACACACTTAAAATAATATATATATATAATGTATTGTGAGTTGCTTTTTTTTTTTTAGGTGGCATTTTCACTGGATGAATTTTACAGATAACTTTGCACTGAAAGTAATATTTTATTGGTCATTGTTTCTTGATGAGCGAAGGTATACTAGGCAGTGTATAAATACTGACCTATTTTAATCAGACTTATTCAGGGTTGTAAGTAAAGTCTTTTTTTGAAAGGTATGTAGGTATTTAAATCCAGGACAGAAATCAAAGGTTTTGTCTATGCCATGCTATCATTTGAATATTTTCTTTCTCTCCCTCATTTTTATTTTTAATCCATTAATGGTTTATATCATCATCACAAACTGCTGGTCATTGGAATAATGGACTACAGTCTATGAATTGACTTGGCCTTCAGCGACTGAAGCTAATGGCCCTTTGATGTCTTGACAGTCATGACGGCCTGTCCAAAGCTGAAGCCTGCATCTAATTTAAATTGCTTTACACTGTTGTCTGTTACGTTTGTGTAATTTGTGTACTAAGACCCAGCTAGAACGCATTATAGTAGTCCAGCTGGATATGACAAATGTGTACATCACTGTGGCAGAATCTTAATTTGGAAGAAAGTATGCAGCCTTCAAGCCAGCTGGAGATGGAAGATGGCATTTCCAGCCCTAGTAGCTGTTAGGAAGTCCAGAAGCAACAGAGTCCAGTAACACCACAAAGCTGTTTATATTTGGTGGAAATGATGTCCCGATTGCCAGTAAAACAGCACTTATCCTTATTTACTCTAAATACTTCTGCCTATCAGCATCACTTTTGTCTTGCCTGGGTTGAATTTCTGCCAGCTAGATTTTTATCCAAGATCTTGATTCTGGCAAGCTTGGAGGCAGCTAGTAGTAATGCAAGGGATTTGACACAAAGAAGATGTAGAGTAAAAGGACTTTTGTGTATTCATAGCAGTTAAGGTTAAAGCATCCCAGACTCTTCTCTCACTTTCACATTTTAAAGGATACTCTGAAAGACAAAAGAGTTTTGCATTTAAAACTATGGAAAGAGGAATGACAAGATCAGCAGTTCAAATCCACTAGCGCTCCTATGGAAAAAGATGAGGCTTTCTGCTCCTATAATCATTTATAGTTTCAGAAACCTTATATTGTGTTCTGTTAGTTGCAACTGACTTAACAATACCTAACAACCAAGAGGAATGGAGCCCTGGTAGTGTAGTGGGTTAAGTGTTGAGCTACTAACTGGGCTGCAGTTCAAACCCATCAGCTGCTCCATGGGAGAAAGATGAGGTTCCCTGTTCCCATAAAGATTTAGAGTTTTGGAAACCCTAGGGAACAGATCTACTGTTTTATAGGGTTGTCTTGCATAGAATTGACCTGATGGCAAACTTGGTTTGGTTTGGCTTAAAGAGGAATACTGTCTATATGAGATTTTGGAATAGTTTTTGTTTTATAGCAATTTCATTTATTATAAATTCCAGTAATGGGCTCTCAGTTACATTAATGACTAAAAAATGAAAAAGAATAGCTATATTTAAAAGAGACTGTATTGATGCCCTGGACTCCTGGTGTGGTGCTGCTGGATAAGCACTGGACTACAAACCACAAGGTGAGCAGTTCAAACCCACCAGCTGCTTCTCAGAAACCCTAAACGGTCGCTGTGAGTCGGAACTGACTCGATGACACTTAACATATTATATTTTGGTGTGGCACTATGGAATAAGTACTGCACTGTTAACAGCAAGATCAGTGGTTCAAATCTGCCAGCTGCTCCTTGGAAACCCTATACAGGGTTGCTACGAGTCAGAACAGACCCGATGGCACTGAACAGCAGCAATATATTGATGTGAAGGTTTATTTATGATTTTTTATCTTATAATAGCAAAGTGTAGTGAGGAAAACATGAAACATGGTATTTAGAATGAAAAAAACAAGTTTTAACGTTTGGCTTTGTCTGCTTCCTCTTAAATGAGTTACTTCTGGTCAAGTTATCGAAGTTCGCTGATTCTAAGATTTTTTTTACCCGTAAGTATGGGTGTAATACTAATTACTTTTCTCACTCACAGCACTTTAATGAACATTAGATAGAAAATAGTGTTTATGAAGAAGCTTTATAAATAATAAGTTAGTTTGATATGATATGATGGTAACTTATTATCATTTTTCTGGTAACAGTTCCTTGTGAGTTTGAAATTTTATGAATTTAGGTAAATTTATCATGTTGAAAATGTGGTCTGCTTTTTAAAGTACCTGTATTAGTCTGTGATTCGATTTAAGGAGAAACCAGGTCTGTCTGCTTTGAGCACCCAACAGCCAGCCTAGGACTAGGTATAAGTCAATGCTTATTAATAATTTTCTGGTTTAATTGTGTGCTTCTAAAGTGTTATCTGGGATGAGTTGATATCACGTGCCATGAAAAAATACCTTGGAAGGGATTCAAAAATAGATCTACCTCATAAGATCACTACATTTACTTTTAAGTAGCAACTTAAAGTAGCATTAGCTACAGAATCAGGGCTTTAAAAAAATATCTTGGTTCCTCTTTCTGTTTTCCAGTAAACATTTTCTGTTTGGCTTGTACTATTGCAGAGTTGCCCAGAATGAACTAGAGTTACTTTTGTGTCTGATGGGTATCCATAGAAACTCATTTCATTAATTTATTGATTCGATTTGTATTCATTGAGTGGCAACCAGAACAATGCTAGTGTGAACACAGAGTGAAAAGACCAGAGAATAATACAAATCAGATTGTTTTCATGGACCTCATGTTCTGTGACAATCAATGTTCATTCTAGCAAGGCACTATTCTAAATACTGGAGTTGTTGTTTTTGTTAAAGTGTTGTTGAGTCTGTTCTGTATCTTAGCAGCCCTCTAAGGAACTCTGGTAGCGTAGTGGTTACGAATCGGGCTGCGAACCTTAAGGTCAGCGGTTCGAAACTACCAGCCGCTCCGCGGGAGAAAGATGAGGCTTTCTACTCCCGTAAAGATTTACACCCTTGGAAACCCTGTACAGGGTCGCTATGGGTCGGACCCGACTCGATGGCACTTAACAACAACATACATTTTATGAGGCTGAAAATCTTTGTGGGAGCAGAAAGCTGTATCTTTCTCCCACTGAGCAGCTGGTGGACTTGAACCGCTAACCTTGGAGTTCCCAGTCCCATGCTCATCATACAAAACCACTCATCAAAAAATGAGTCATTTTGCAGATCATTATGATAGAATGATCGTACACAGTAGGGGATTGGCCTTCTGTACAGTCCTAAGGAGGATTGGTGGCACAATGTTAAAGAATTTGTCTGCTAATTGAAAGGTTGATGGTTCAAATCCACCAGCCGTCCTACTGGAGAAAAAACGTAGCAATCTGCTCCTGTAGAGATTATGGTCTAGAAAACTAAGCCTATTGGGCAGGTCTACTCCATCCTGTAAGGTGACTATGAATCAGCATCAACTTGAAGGCCCACAAAAACAGCAGTTCTGTAAGCCCTAGTGTATTTTCCATGTACATTGGAGAACTAGATATACCATGACTACTTCACCTAGAAACAGTCTACATCTCCCTACTTGGACTTGAACATCAAAATAAGCTTCCTTTACCTCATTGTATTGTCAAGTAAATTA